TCCCCCTTCATTTGCTCCCATGTGCTCTGATCAGACATGTCCCTCTCCCAGAGCTGCAGATTCAGTGCTGTCCTCTGAAATACATTCTTCTAGTGGGAGGGGCAGATGTCCACGTAGTTGGGATTGGGGCCAGACCCTCAGACATTTCCACTGGTTCCCTACTCCACGCCGGCATGTTGCATTCACATCTTGGAGCATTGGGTTGAAGTCTGGTCCCTCTTTCCCTGTGGAGATATAATCACTACCCTCCCCTGGGGGGTGGGTTAGTGCCCTGTGCTCCCACTAGTGACGGTAAATCTTTATGAAAAAAGGAAAACCTCAATTTTCTCCCAAGGAACAATAGGTTTAAACCACCAACTTTCTGGTTAGCAGCCCAATGGACTCTCCCATGGTGCCAACAGGGAGATAGATATCTATGTATACATATAACTTTATGCCTCCCTCAGGTGCCTATCTAATTTTACCAGCCAGTTTTGTGTTTTGAAAAAAATTTTAGCTTATCGTTATTTTATGTTAAAATATCATATCTTATCATTATTTTATGTTAAAAGCTTTTAACATATCAAAAAGATATGTTTTATCTTTTTGAAAAATTCATCAATGCTTCTTTATTCAATTGTCAGTTTTCAGATGCACCTGAGACCATTGAAAATAGGGTAGACGTCAGTCCTGAGAGTGACACCTTTGTTATTTAACACTATGAAGAAGTCTTTTGCAACAGCTTTGTCTAATGCAGTCATCCCTTTGATTTCTTGACTTTACCTCCATGGGCATTGTTGTGGACTCAAGTACAATGAAACCCTGGATAAGGTCAACCTTTTCTTTCTCTATCATGATGCTGCTTTCTGGTCCAGCTGTGATGGCTTTTGTGTTATGTTAAAGTATAATCCACACTGAAGATTATAATCTTCATCAGTAAGATGTTTTCTTTTCTTTACTGTCAGTAAGCAAAGTTGTGTTATCTGCTATTGCAGGTTGTAAGCGAGTCTTCCAACAATCTTGCCGCTGCCTAATATTTCATATGGTCTAGCTTCTTGTCTTACTTGCTAATGATCCAGACTGAACAAATATGGCGAAGGATACAAAGGCATATAGATAGCTCTCTAAGAACACAAGACGTTTTAAAAAATTAATTAAAAGAAACAAGGGGTCTGAGGGGTTGTAGTGGCATAATGGATTACGTAATGGGTTACAAACTGCAAGGCCAGCAGTTGGAAACCACCAGCTGGTCCATGGGAGAAAGAGGAGGCTCTATGCTCCGTGAAGAGTTACAGTCTCACAAGCCCACAGGGGCAGTTCCATTTTGTCCTAGAGGGTGGCAATGAATTGGAATCAACTCAATGACGGTGAGTTTGATATTCGAAAATGTATTGTTTGGTTTTAAGGGGGATATTTTGGGGTTAAGGGGAAAGATGATCTCAGGACGAGAATTTCGTCCAGCTTCCATGGTTCCAGAAAGTCTAAAGTCTACGGGAATTTGAAATTCTCTTCTGTATTTTCCCCATTTTCATCAGGATTTTTCCATTGATTCGTTGATGCTCAGTAATGGCAGCTCAGCACCATGCAGTTGTTCTTTGAGGAAATTCACTTCCCATTCACATCCTCCTCCTATTCCCGACTTCCTTCTTCCTCAGTGGCTCCAGGCAAATAGAGATCATTGCGCCCTGGATGGCTGTGGGCACACTTTCAAGACCCTAGTTCTACCCAACAAGCTAAGATGCCCCGAACTGATGCCCCGAGCAAGTTGTTAGGCCAATTAATGGGGATGTTCCAAAAAACGATTACCCTAAATCCCCAAACCAAGGAACCCTCTCCCCAAGACATATTTGGATGTACAGAGGTAGTTTCAGCAGCTACTCTTTTAGAAAATGAAAAAAGAAAAAGTGTTACAAGCTCCTTCCTAAGACTCTAAACTGCTTTCTGACAACATCTTATTAGGTGCCTTCCGGTCGATTCCGAGTCCTGGTGACAACAGAACACAACGCGGCCAGGTCCTTTGCCATCTCGCCTTCTTATTCTGTTTGACCCCATTGGCCAATCTAGCTTGTCGAGGGTCTTCCTCCTTGTGACAACTTTGTGAAGGACAACTGTCTAATCACCTTCCAGTCAACGTGACAACTATTTATAATAATCCTTCAATCTGTTTTTAAGGAATCCATGGAAGCCTGTCAAAACTTGGTTCCTGTATCCAGAGTGGTGCACAACATTCTCACCCAGCTGGAAAGAACATTTGACCTGTCGCTTCTGATGGCGTTGTTCAGCCCAATCAACCTGCGCGAATACCCCACCCTAATGAAGATTCGCAGGAGCTTCGAACGCGGTAATGAGACTTGGCAAATGCTTTGGGGGCTGTGGACGCATGCGAGATACTGCTATGTGAAAGGCTTAGCTTGTTTTCACCTGGGTGGACTATGCACCCAAGTTCCTACTCTTTGGGAAGATGTGGGCCAGACTCTTACACAGGTGTGGCAGGAAGGATGACCTGTGGCTGCCTCTGACCTGACTCTCTGATGAACTTCCAGCGGACACAAACGCTTCTGTCTTAATCAGCTCCATGAATTTGGGGGGATTGTGCAGCTTAAACTATGACGGGTCTCTATGTAACACATCAGATGACAGAGAGACCCTTGTGCAATGCAAAGGTTCAGACACCGGGCCTGGACAAGGAGAGCCAGAAAGGCAGCGATGTAGATATGGATGAACCATAATAAGTGTCATTTCTTTGTGTGCTTACTGTGTGCCAGGCATTATGCGAAGCACTGCCTATGTTCATTGTGGGTCATCCTTCAAACCATCCTGTGACGTTGTTACTCTTGCCATTTACAGATCAGGAAATTAGAGCCCAGAGGGAACTTCCCAGGGTTATCTGTCTGTGGAGTGGCAGAGCCAGGAGACCTGATTGGGTCTCCCAATGCCAGAGCCCAAGATGTGAACCACTTCCTGAATAAGGAGGAACCAGAAGCCAGTTGGCAAGCCTGAAGGTGTGAAGACAGGTAGCTGGAGAGGAAGAGGGGCCGCGGAGACAGGAGGAGAGGGCGTGAGAAAGGAATCGCTGGGCATGAAGTCACTGAAGCCATTGAGAACCAAAAACCAAACCAAACTCTCTGCCCTCGAGCCAGATCCAATCCCCAGTGACCTTCTAGGACAGGAGAGAAGCGCCCCTGTGGGTTTCTAAGACTGTATCTCTCTAGGGCGGGTGTTGAAAAGCCCGTCATCTTTCTCCCCATGAGGGGCTGGTGGTTTAGAACTGTGGACCTTGTGGTTGCCAACCCAACGTGTCACCACTATGTCACCAGCTAAAGCAGTAGAATCAAGAGTGATGGCAGAGCTCAGAAGAAAGACCAAAAGCTAAGAGGGAAATTACATTCGAGAAAAATCACCGTGGCTAAGGCATGTGGTTCATTTATCTGAGTAGAAGAGTGGATATCATGGTTGTCATGACTGCCAAGTGACATTCTGTCACCTCTCAGTTCTGGCTCCTAGAGACCCCGTGGGACAGAGGGAAGTGCCCCTGCTGGTTTCTGAGACTGTGCCTCTTCACGGGAGGAGAAAACCTCGTCTTTCGCCCTCCGAGCAGCTGGTCGTTTTAAAGCGCTGACTTCGTGGTCAGCAGCCCGGCACGTAGCTCACTCCACCACCAGGCCTCCTTCTCCTGACACTAGAAAGGGGCAGCCAAAGACAACATGGCGATCTCCAAGCTAGGTGACTTGGCCCTCCTGGTAGCACCGGGGCCGTCATAGGAGAAACTTGGGCCTGAAGACCATGCTAAGCAGGTCTTTGAGGCAGAGAGCGCGTAGAGCTGAATGTGGTACCTGGCTCGGCTCAGTCAAGTCTCTCCCTGTGTCGGCAGCTGCGTGACGGGTTGTGGTGCTGTGGGGACAGTCTCTCCCACCTGACTTCACATCCCCCTTTCTGTTCCTTTCGTTGGTTGGAGCGCCGTGCCTTTTCCCAGGAACGATGGGGAGGAAACCTGAGGGGAACCTGGCATTTGCCGTAAGGGAACCGGCGCCTAGATACCCAAAGGTCTGGGGCAAGGGGGTGGGGGCAGGATTAGGAGTAGCCAATCACAGAGGGGAAGGAGGGAGCCACAGTCAGCAGAAATGAGCAATGGCAGAATGTAAATGTTCTAACAGGCCATGCTAAAGAACCGGAATCTTGCCCTCTTACTTGAGAGGCGAGAGGTTATGTTTATTCCGTAGATGAGGCCTCTGGTAACATTTCAGAACTCTTTTTAACTAAGGAGTCTTGGTAGCACTTGGTTTGCCCATTGGGCTATGAACCTGAAGGTCAGCAGTTTGAAACCACCAGCAGCTTCAGGGGAGAAAGATGAGGTTTTCTATTCCCAGAGTGAAGAGTCTCAGAAACACAGAAGGGGCAGTTCTACTCGGTGCTGTAGGGTTGTTATGAGTTAGAACAGACTGCATGACAATGGGCTTTTCTCTCTCTCTCTCTCTCTCTCTCTCTCTTTTTTTTTTTTTTTGGTGCTATGAAAATGATTGCATGTCCAGTAATTACATAATTTCCTATGTATGGAAGCAATGTTAAAGAATGAAATAAAATAAAATTCCTGCATAAGAAAGTCAAGTCCAGCATTATACAAGAAAAGACTTTGGCATTTATTCAGGAGTTAAGTGTAGTTAATGTGATGTTAAACAACTAAAGAAATAAAATGGAAAAGGGTCAGAGATGGAACAATGATGAAGATTAATTCAGCTCTTCTTACCCGGTGTAGGGGGACAGACTGAGTCCATGGCTCTGTCCTGTTGGAAACCTTGTATGAAGAATCTCTCTGCTCAAACTATGTAACCCAAGTCTCTGGGGTGTTGATATGTTGGTCTGTGTTCATTCCCCAATCTCAGTTGGCGCTGCCTATGAAGAATTGGGGAGAGCCACGCCAGTGCTAACTGAAGTCCCAGATGACCCCGCAGAAGGGAGCTCCAAGGTCCGACATCCACGCCAGGACCACCAAAGACGACCACTACCCCTACCCCCGCCGCCGCCTTCCAGTCTGCCCAGTGCCCAGAGGGTCAGCCAGCCAGAGGCATGCACGCAGCAAAGCAGACGGCCAAGCCCTGCGGGCCCTGCCGTGGCTCTACCTGGAATCATCCAGGAAGAAAAGATCATTCCAGGTGAGAGACAGACCTGGATCTCTGTATCTAGGGTACTTAGAACCCCTACCCTGTCTCTTAGTGGTCGGTTCCTTTTCATAAACCCACTACTCATACTCCACCCTTTCCAGAAAAATGATGCTCATTGCCAGGGGCCCAAGTGAGGCCCAGATCCAGAACAACTGCTTTCCATGTGCATGAGTCTCCCAGGGCTTCTGTGACAAAGTACCATTACCTAGTAGCTTGTTAATTAATGTAACTTAATTCTCTCATGGGGCTTGGGGTGAACAGGCTGAATCCAAGGTCTTCAGGGCCACGCTCTTTCCATAGACTCTAGAGCAGTGGTTCTCAATCTTCTGAATGCCGTCACCTTTCATACAGTTCCTCAGGTTGTGGTGACCCCCCCCACCCACAACCATACAATTATTTTCATTGCTACTTCATCACTGTCATTTTGCTACTGTTATGCATTGGGCGACCCCTGCGAAAGGATTGTTCGACCCCCAAAGGGGTCGTGACCCACAGGTTGAGAACTACTGCTCTAGAGAAAGGTCCTGCCTTGTCTCTCCCAGCACCTGGTAGGCACCTGAGTTCCTGGGCTTGTAGATACATCAGTCCAATCTCTGCCTCCATCCTCACCTGACACCTTTGTTTGTGGGTTTCTCTGCGTCTTTTCTCTCTTTTCATAAAGACGCCGGCCTTATTGGCTACTGTACCCACCCTACTCAAACCTGAGCTGTTAACCACCTACATCTGCAAAGACCCTCATTCCAAATGAGTTTACATTCACGGGTCAGAGGGTAGGGCTTAAAGCGATCATTGTGGGGAACACAATTCAACTCATAACACCCTGCCTGGGTCACAGCAACCCTTTGCACATGGGTCTTGGGGCTCCTTGTCCTCTGGGCATTTTACATTCACTGTCTCTCTGGCCCCCATTCTCTGTGACTGGAAAATATTTTCTTCCCCTTCAGTGGCCAATGCCAACTCAGCATCCAAAACAAATAGTGGAGAAGACTCGCAAACGCTGTCCAGCCTTCCGCTTGGCCCCGTGCAAGGTAATGTTCACCGAGGCTGACTCACCTTTGCTCACAGTGGCTGTGAAGGCCGAGCTCCCACCTGAGCCCTGTGCGAGAAGCTAGCAAAGGAACCTGGGTGAAATCGAGGGAATTCAAGGAAGATGGAACCAGTTCACCAGCTCAGGGCCGAGCAGGCTGTCAGGCACTCTCTGCCATGGTCAGTGTGATGCTGTGATGTCCAGAACACCAGTCACCATGGAGCCGATTCCAACTCATGGTGACCCGTGAGTGTCAGAGCAGAACTGCTCCGTAGACTGTCTGGTGCCTGTTTCTCAGAAGTAGACTGCTTCCTTTCAAGGCACTTCTAGGTGGTCTCAAACCTCCAGCCCTTTAGAGATCCAGTGTGTTAATCATTTGCACCAGCTGTCCAATCAGCCCTGTCAAAATGCAAAACCAACCAATGATCAAAGACACTCTTCTGAGTTGAGAGTAACTTGTGACTCTTGGCTGATAAGTTGTTCCCAGCTGACCTTGAAGCCTTTCCAACTCAACCACACTCACTGCCACGGAGTCATTGTTGACTCATAGCAACCCACTGGGGCTTCCCAAGACTGTAACTGTTTATGGGAGTAGAACGTCCTGTCTTTCTCCCACAGAGTTGCTGGAGGTTTCAAACTGCTGACCATGCGGATCACAGCCCAATGCATAACCACTAAGCCACTAGGACTTCTGAAGCCTTTCAGTCAACTGTAATAGCATAATAAGGCTTGGATTCTAAGAGCAAGCCTATTGAAATGCATTTGGTTCTTATTACTCACTGATTGCATATTTGTGAATTTTCCAAATAGCTAACATTTTTTTGTCACCCACAAATCAATATTGCAGCAACTTCACAGTCACTCCTAGGCATGTGCACAGTGGCTAAGCATGGGTTGCTGGATACCTACATCCCCACTGAGGTGGAATGGAGCTCATTCGGCTAGTGAATGTTCATAGGGACTTACACTAAATACCACAAAAGGCACTGCAAATAGCAAGAATTTATATGATGAGAATTATAATTGAGCAGTGTTTGAAAGGTCTCCTGAAGCTGATTTAGCTTCTAAAATTGTGTTCTTTGCCATCTTACCCCCAGTCATCATTATGAAAAAGTTTTATTGCACTAACTATAACACTGGTATATTACTAGATACTGTCTAAAGTGGCATCATGAATTCTGAGCCTTCAAGAGCAGAGAGGAAGGGACTATAACATCCTCTTCCCTCTAATGCACATCATGCAGATAAGAAACACAGTAAAGAGGCTAACAGCACTGAAAGAATCTATTGCTGAATGTTCAAAGGAATTGAAAAGCAAGTGCTGTTATTAAATTAGTAAGTAACTAATTAAAAGTAAACAATCATCCACTTTCCCATTCTGTCTCCCCATTGTCCTAGTCATGCAACTCCATCAGCCAATCATGTTGATCCTATTGGAATAGACTGGTCTTTCTCTTGCTGAGCAGCTGGTGGGTTTGAACTGCTGATCTTGGGGATAGTCATCCAATGCTTAACCCACTGCACTCCCAGGGTTTCTTTCTGTCTTTCTTAGAACAGCAAAAACTATGAGCAAAACTTGGTATACATATATATGTATATATGTATATGTATATATATGTGTGTATATATATACACTTTGCTAATAGTATATATATATATATATATATTGTTAACCTAACCCCAAACCAAACCCGTGTGACTCCATGCGTTACAGAGCAGAACTGTGGTCCATACGGTCTTCTTGGCTATAATCTTTGCAGAAGCAGATCACCAAGCCTTGTCCCCTTCAACTCTTTTGGGAGGGATGTTTCCGAACATCAACCTCTAGGTTAGTAGGTGAGTGAAAACTGTTTGCACCGCCCTCAGAGCTCAAGCTCACAACCACAGAGTCCCTTCAGCCCAGTGCTTGGTGGTTTCAAACTTTACACCTTGCTGTTGGCAGCCCGGGCTCCTGGTGCAAGCAGGACACAGGCACCGTTAAATACAGGCCACCTTCTGCCTCCCTTAGATCTTCACGCACTCCTGGAGTACATGGATACACAAAACATGCAGCCTCCTCCTCTCTCCCTAGACGAACTAGTCACAGACCAAGCAGTCAGGGAATACGCACAGACGTCCAAGCAATGACATCTATTAGTTGCAGAGCAAAGGAGTCCCTCTTCATTGTCGTCAGGAGACTCCGATGTCACCACCTACCTTTGCTCCCACCTTCACTCCTGAACAAGCCCTGCCAAGTGCCCTTGATTTCTCTTTCACCAAAGAAGGGGAACTTCTCAGACAGAGCCCTCCACTGTCGGAGTATCATTCCCCTGGTCCAGTGTGACTCTCACACAGGTGGATAGATTCCAGGGAGCTTTGTTGCCTGACGGATTCCCAGCCCTGCATCCGTCGGCTTCTCTGCGATTACCCCCAACACTTTCCCATCAGTTCTGACCTTGGAAATAAATTCTCTCTCTTTGGTCAGTGGTGAGAGGAGATGCTCCTGAACCAAAAGGCCCCAACGAGCCCCTGAACCTATCTGGCCCTCCTGCAAACAAGAAACGTGAGGGTTGCCTTTCTCCTGCATGTGCCAGGAGGATGCGTTGTGAGGGACTTTGTCTCTTTTATCCACACTCCCTGCAACTTCTTCACTGATCTCCATGGCAATTATAGAGAAATCAGATACCATTTATGGCCCTGCAAATCTGCTCCCATGGGCATTAATTTTTCTGAACTCCTTTGTTGTTATTTACCATCGAATCACCTCCGACTCATGGTGCTCTACGTAAAACAGAACACGTTGTTGCCTGCTCTTGCCCCATCTTCATGATTGTAGATATTTTTGAGTTCACTGTACCCATTGAACAATCACTCCCTATTGCCCCCTCCACCGACCCTCTGCTAACCGCTGATCAACTTTGTTCTCTATGCTTTTCTTTAGATACTTCATATGCATGGACTCATGCAAAATGTGTTATTTTGTGCTTCATTCTATTAGCCAGCATAATATTTTCCAGGCTACGCCACTTTGTTTATTTCTTCATTTGGCAATAGGCCCCTGGGTGATTGCTACCTTTTGGCTATTGTGAGGAGTCCTGGCGGCATAGTGGTTACACATTTGGTTGCAATCCACAAGGTTGGCAGTTCGAAACCAGCAGCCACTCGGTGGGAGAAAGACAAGAGCTTTCTACTTCTGTAAAGTTACATCCTCAGAAACTCACGGGGGACAGTCGCCCCCTGTCCTGTAGAGCTGCTAGGAGTCGGCATCAGCTCGATGACAGTGCGTTGGTGTTTTGGCGTTTAGCTAGTTGGATCATGCTAGAGTGCATACTGAGGCACAAATACGTGTGTGCGTCTCTGCTTGCCAGTCTTGCGAGTGTGCATGCACCTAGAAGTGGAATTGCATCTGGTAGTTCTCTGTCAAACTTGGGGGGGACCACTAAATGGTTGCCACAGAACCACACCATTTTACATTCCCACCAGCAATGGTTGAGGCTTCCAACCTTCCCATTTCCTCCACTTGTTGTGCCAGTTTGTTTGATAATAGCCGCCCCGGCAGGGTGAAATATATGGGCTGACACCTAAGACCAATGGTGCGGACGGCACAGGACCAAGCAGGGTTTCATTCTGTTGAACTAACCCAACGGCACCTCACAAAAAGAACCCGGTGGGCATGTCCTGGTGTGTGCATGTGCCTTTCTTTCCCTAACGGCTAGTGACAGTCAACAGCTTTTCACTTGCTAGGTGTCTGTCTTCTTTGCATAGATGTTGACTCAAGCCCAGGTAAACTGGATTGTTTGTCTTCTGTTGTTGAGCTATAGGTTCCCCTCCCCACCCCAAATATGTTCTCCATATTAATTCCTTATCAGAAATATAGTCATTGAACATTTCCTTCCATTCTATCGGTTGGCTCTTCTCTTTTTTCTACTTCTTCTTCTTTTTTATTATTTAATTTTTGGTCTTCACTTTCTTGATGAAGGCCTTTGATGCACAACAGCTTTTAATTTTGATGAAGTTCAAGTTATCTATTTTTTCCTTGTGTTGCCTGTCTTTTTGGTGTCTTTTCCAAGACACACCAACTCTAAGAGAACCCATTGTGTGAAGCTTTGGATCTTGAAGCTGTGTCCCTCCATTTTCTCCTAAGAGCCTGTGGCTTTACTTCTTGTGTTCAGGTCGTTGACCCATGTGGAGTTGATTTTCACACACCCTGTGAGCTGTGGGACCGATTACATGCTTTGCAGGCACAGGTACAATTGTCCAAGCGTCATTTGTTGAGAAGAATCTTCTTCCCTCCTTGAATGGACCTGGCACCATTGTCCAAACGCCTTGGTCATAGGTGTGTGGGTTAATTTCTGGTTTCTCAGTTCTGTACCTTTTTGCAAGCAGTGCACTCCCTTCCTTACTGTAGCTTTGCACTGAGTCCTGAAGTCAGGAAAGGTGGCTCCTCCTGCTGGTTCTTCTTTTCAAGGTTGCCTTGGCAGGTCAGGGCCAGTTACAATTCCGTATCAATTTACGATCAGCTTTTCTAAGGCTGCACCAAGTCCCATGAGCTCAGTGAGTAGGCCCATCTTGCTCTTTGCTCTGTATCTGCCTCCTCCGTGCGTCACACAGTTGGGATTTCATGACTACCATAGTGAGCCAACTTCCTTAGAGACCTGCCACAAATAGGCCCGATGTCTTTTTCTTGCGAAGCTGGTCACAACTGGAGCTCATGATCTGCCCATCCTGTTACTTCCTGGAAGTTCTGTGAGGTCAGAACGTAAGTAGCTCAGTCTTGCTCACGGGTGTGCATCCATGTCCCCAAGTCTCACACAGCTCCTGCTTAAAGCACTCTTCTTTGTCCAGCCTCAGTACCGACCTCAGGGCTGCTGTTTACCCACACAATGCATTTGTGTAATGAGAACACAAAGATCTCCCTTTTCCCAAACATTGTGTCTACATCTGTCAGACTCTTAAAGAGCCTTGGTAGTGCAGGTCAATTGCATGAGTGGTAATCAAAGATCATTGATTCAGACCCACCGGCCATTCTGTGGGAGAAAAATGCAACAGCATGCTTCCCTCCAGATTTACAGCCTTGAAAGTCCTATGGGGTAGTTAACCTTCATCCTAGAAAGGAGTGAAGAGTCTAAATTGCCTTGATGGCAATCGTAACCACACCCTTTGTGGTCCAGTACTGGGAGATGGTGGTACCATCAATCCAGCTCAATTATATCTCAGGTGTGAGTGGTGCCCCCTTGAGGTATAATTCCACATATCAGAGGTCATATCCATGACCTTACAGGGGATAAATGCACTTTGCTCTACATTTTGTCATTGAATCTTCACAATCACTCACTCACTCACCATTGAATCAAATCCAACCCATAATGATGATATAGCACAGCATAGCATTTGCTCCAGAGGGTGTTGAAACTGTAAATCTTTACAGGAGCAGTCTCATCTTTCTCCCGTAGAGTGGCTGGTGGGTTTGAAAAGCAAACCTTGTGATGAGCAGCTTAATGCTAAACCCACTGGCACCAGGACTCTACAATCGTATGTGGGGGCCCTGATAATACTCAACAGACCGACTACTTTTCAATTAACAAAAGCATATTGCTGTACATTTGGCTGTTTAATCCTCATAATATGATAGCATTATTTAGCCCATTGTTACTGCTTCCATGAGAAGTTCATGGACTTGCATGAACCAAAAACACACTGTCATGTTCCATTTCCAAGTATTTTGTGCTTGTCACCGATACATAAATAAGGCCAGGTACCTTCTGCTCTCATCAGGACTCTCTGCTGGGGGCTAAACCGCAGTGGGGATGAAAGGAGAGTGCAGAAGGGGGAGTGGGTGGGGGTTGGGGAGGCTGGAGCGTGGGGAAAACCTGCAGGGTCCCTCCATGTCCGTTTTCCTGCCTCCTCAGCTCTCCCCGCTGCTGGAAGGTGACTTCTGGTTCCTCACAGGGAACACGTGCTGCGGTGGGTCACGCAGATCCTACAGTCTCCTTGGGGCATTTCTGCTGACACGGGAAGAGCCCGGGACTAAAGTCCAGCCCATGGAGCCAGGTGACCTCCAGCCACTGTCTCTCCACATCCGAGTCTGTCGTCATCTCTGAAATATGGTTTTCTTCCTGCCTCACAGGCTGTTGTGGGGACACGGTCACAGCACCTGTTGTCTTTACTGTTTCTCTGACTCCCTGGCCCCATCCCTTCCCCCAACCACCGATAGGTCTCTCAGGTGTGTCCCTGTCTTTAAGGGCACCATTTCCACCTCGTGTGCTTTCCCAGGCTCGGGAAGAGTCCCTGTAGTGATCCTTCTGCTTCGCTAATTAACTTGCTTCCATCCTGCTGTCCTGGCCTCTGTCGGGCTGTCCTCTCATTTCCTCCTCTGCCTGTTGATCCCCATGAGCTTCTTTCCTCTCTGACTGTTTCCCTAGCAGGCTGCTCGCGTGTCATGGATGTCAGAGTCCAAGGGAACTAGATGCCCCTTTCTCTACCTCTCCTCCTGTTTGACAGTTTCATTGGTGATGGTGAAGGGATGTCGACTATGCCCCCCAGCTGACCACTCCTCTTGGGTTTTCTCAGCCACTTGCAGTGTGTGGCTAACGGTGCCTAACGGTGCTCCAAGTCTGTTTCTCCTACAGCTTGAGGGGCCTCCCTGGGATCAACTGGGGTTGAGAACCCTCCTTTCATATCCACCAAGACGGCTGCCTCTGCCCCTGAGAACATCCAGGCCATATGTGTTTTTTTGAAGCTCCATGGATCTTAGGTGACGGTGTAAACAATCAATCAGCTTTGCTGCTGCTTTGGGGTTCTCTAGAGAGATCAAAGCAATGACACTTATACATGTAAATATCGAGAGGAATTAATATCAAAACCATTGCTCACAAAGTTGTAAACATGGCCAAGGACAAGCCTAGGCAGGATCCAAGCCTGTGGTTCAGATATTAGGCTGGAAGCTTCTTCTGACTCATATAGCTGCAAGGGCTAATTTACCCAAGCCTGGCAGAAGGGTCACCAGCTACTGGCTACAGAATGAATTCCAGGTTGGCAGATCAGATGGCAGGCCTGTAACTCCCAGGATTGACAGGCAATATGGCAAGTCATTGGCTCAAGTTCAAGGAACTGGTGGCCCTTGAGCCAGACGCAGCATCCAGACTCAACAAAAGCCAGCAAACTTTCTAACAGCTTATACCGGAAGCAGGCCATACCCCTAAGAAGACTTCCTTTCAGTAACATCAGGGCTGTGACCTGAATAAGGGCCTTCCAGCCACCTAATCATCTCATATGTGAGGCCGTTCCTAGCAGATTCCCTTATGGAGGGGATTACATTGTGCTAGGCCAAATGCTGGAGGATTCCTGCGTCTTGGTGGTTTCACGTTGAGCAAGTAACTTTGAGATCAGCAACAGGAAACCGTCAGCCACTCCATGGGAGAAAGATGAGGCTTCATATTCCCATAAAGAATTCCAGGCTCAGAAACCCACAGGGCCACTTCTACCCTGTGCCTTAGACTTTCTGTGAGTCAGAACTAACTCAGTGGAGTGAGTGAGTGAACTGCCAAATCACTGAGAGTCCCGGCCCAGGCAAATTCGCATCAAACCGGTTACAGCAGAAAATTGAAAACGTGAAGGTCTGAGTTCATCCAGAGGGGGGGGAAAAAAGAGGCCTGTCAAGGTATTTCCATAAAACCAAAGAACACAGTTCCGCTCTGATACACCTGGCTGTCAAGAGTTAGAATCAATTCAATATCAGTTGGTTCGTAGATGCGAACCATATGTAATGAGAAAGGCATTTTAATGAACACGGAGAACTGCAGAAGGAGTTCCTGGCCACAGTAATCCCCGTGGGGGTTTGGAATGGTGACTGGTGGTGCTGATTATGATTGAACGGGAAGCCCAGCTCCCGTTCAATGCAGATGATGACTCACGCACCCTTGCTAGGAAGGGGCAGAGAGAGGAGCTTAAACCTATATGTGGGCCTGCAGGGTGTAGGTCCCACTCACTGAGCCACTTCAGGGTCTGGACACAAATGGTGGCACATCCACATCATGCAAGAGCAATACTCCTCAGCCCCCATGCTTGGCCTTGCTGACAGACCTTGAGCCTCCACAGTTGAGCATGCTCAGGTCCTGCTGGGAGCCCCTATCCCCTTACTTTGGAGGGGGCCCTCTTCTCTCAACTATACTCCATAGGTTGATGGGTTTGAACTGCTGGCCTACCGGTTAGCTACCCAACAGCTTGTCCCACTGCACCACCAGAGCATCCAGGTGGGCACAAGCTTCTTGGGGCTGAGGATTGTCCCACAGTTTCCACTTCTTCTTCCTCTGTGAGCCTCATAGAAGGGGCCTGGAGGGCAGGAGACCTGAGGGAGACTGAAGGACGACTCAGGGGAGCTAAACCACTCCGTTCTAGTTTCAGAAAGGCCGGAAGATGAGGCTGTGGGCTTCCACCCTCTGCAGCTGCCCGTGACCTGCGGGGAGGCAAAAGGAGTCTTACACAAGGAGAGGATGAAGCGAGGTGAGCTCCTCTGGCTCCTTCCCGGGAACTGCTCCTGGGAAAGGGAAGTCTCCCACGGTCCTCTAATGCTCGGGAAGCCGACACTGGGAGCTGGGCTGCAGAAAAAGAACTGCTTCTTACGGTGCAAATGCCAACCTTCAGTACGTCACACTGAGGTTCTGTGGTCCCTAGTGCCCCTGCCCCAGAAAGAGATGGCTTTAAAGAGCCACTGCAGGAGACTAGAGGTTGACCTCAGGGCACCGGCTCCAGGGAAGGCTCTCTCTGGTGCTCCCTGGGAGATCTTCCCATGGCCCCGTCCTCTCTCCTGCCCCACCCTGACTGTGCTTGCTGCTGAGTCTACTGGGCCCTCTGTAGAACTC